AGCACCCTTTCTTTATATCTTCAATCAAACCTCGGTAACTTACAGTCTCAAAAGTGCACAGTATACGAAACCTAGGATTCGAATTAATTATGGTACACAGCACGTTACATATCTCGTACCAGACCTACTAAATAAACACCCAAACATAGCAGAAATGGCCCAAGCACACATTTCGTTTTTCCATTTTAAAGAAGGATTGTAGAATATATACTAAATGATCTGCAGTTAGTACAAAGTTGACAGTTATGTGTTATTGTGTCTGTTGTGGATTTTAAAATTGCTCTATTTTTGTATATTTATTCTGTTTATGTTCCTGTCTCTCCTCCGAGTGCTGTAAAAAAGGGGCTGGAGCCTCGACAGACTCGATTTCTTTTGCCCCAGCACCCCAGACCCTTGTTTTGTGTCTGAAATAAAAGAAAGAAGTAGAAAAACATCACCTTTGGTGATGTTTTTTTTTTTTTTTTTTTCATTGTGCTTTTCATATGTTCTCCTGTTCGGACTAGCTTTTTAATTTAGTATTTAGTACAATCCTCAATAATAGTAATAATAAACGACTTACCTCAACGGCGTACGATTAGTTTCTCGTGCTGGCCTGCACTACGCCGGTAATGCACTTCAGGTCGTCGTCATACCTGATCTGCATGATGTGGTTTGATTTTACGGCATTTTAACCCCTCTAAACTAAGCTGAGCTCTTCACAGAAAAAAAAAAAATGCACATTGGGAAGCCTCTACGGCCATGGCGATGCACTTGTTTTTGTCACTCGTTTATCGACGCAATTCAATGAAGACGCCACTGCAACAGAGGCCAGCAAATCTATCGTGTCGTCTGCTACCAAAGCAAAGCGGAGTGTAATACTTCAGAAATGGCTTCCATCGTTGCAATACGACACTGAGACGACAAGAACATCTTCATAATTAGATATCAAGATGTTAGGTTGCTTAAAAAAATTATTTTCTTACTTGTAAGCAAAAATTTAGACTCGTGCGGAGTCCCCATGCATTAGTCCATAGCAACGTTCCTAGCAACGGTTTGTTTGGACCCAGACGCCATGTTGTGACGTAGTCACTTACGGGGTCAAATATACAGAGGGGCATATAAAATTCCGATATTGCACGTAAGATAGGTCTCGAGGCAATAACAATTATATTCAATCGTTTTTTCGAATACAAAATTTGACTGGGCAATCCCTTTATGATCATGTAAGCGATTTTAACGCATGCAGTCACTGAATTATTGCATTATACCCCGGCCATATGGGAAAATTAATGTAATTCCGATCGAATTACATTATGGGGTCGTCAAATCAGTTCCTGATGCTCGTATTACAGTCACTCAGGATAGCGAGCTGATTCAATCCCATAATATCATTCAATAAAAATATATGTAAAGCTATACGCACGACGTCGTGCACCTTGACCGGAAATGACTATACGGACGATGCGTAAAGATCATGCCATTGGGTCACCCTTTTCGGACGGCGCGTGTATCACATACACAACGTCTCTTCTAAACCGTTTTTGTCGCCCTCTTTTTTTTTTTTTGTTTCTTTGCCTCCGCTTCGGGTTTTAGTATGTTGATTAACAACCAGCTCGCCTTCTTAATAACGTTGTCTTTGAGACGTTGTGATTTTCCCTTTTTTTCTTTCCTCCGTCTTGGGTTTTAGTATGTTAATTAACAACCAACTCGCTTGCTTAATAACGTTGTCTTCAAATATTACGTCCCAATTTTAATGAAGTCCACTGGGCAAGGATATTTTTTCACGTTGTTTGTGCGTACGTCAAACGCACGAGAGCGAAAATTCCGTCGAATCTGCCTTCTAAAACCAGAATTAAAAGCGACCCCGCTCCCTCATCCTTGAGTGTCTCTTAGCTCTTATCACCCTTTCCCCAGTGGACTCTTTGCACATGAATAGCAGACCTTATTATGGGGATCAACCTGTTTCCCTTTACCTCGTAGTTCTGTTGAAGACGACTGTGGTGTCCGAGGAATGTGTGTTTTTTGCAAGCCGGCTGTAGTTTCGACGATGTCGGACGCAGTTTCTCGGTGATGATCGCTGTCGTCGACTGGATATTGCCGCGCGCAGGGCCCAACAAGCAACGCTCGGTCACGGAACTCTAGAAGACTCACGTTTATTCTTACTCGGGGCGTAACTTATATCATTACGGCCTAGTTTCTTCTTCTCGAAAGTGTACGTTCATTCTCGCCCCAAGCGCGCGATGCTCGAAGCATCTTTGCCGAATTTTCGAGATAGTCACGCACACTAGATCAGGAGCTCCGCGGGACCTCGAGTCAGTCTCACTCTCGCTTGCTGTTATGCCGCCATATCGCCGCACGCTTTTCTGCTGTCTCCACGCTCGTTCTTTATTTCGTTTGGCACAAGTTCCTCACATTAAACCTTTATTATTATTTCACTTTGCAACCTGTCGTCGCCTTCCTTCGTGACCATATGGTCTACTTATTTACATAAAACTCCGATAAACGCCACGATAAACGCCGCAGCATACTGTTTTCGCACAGCGAGAACAAAATAAAGTAGCCATCTTGGGCAGCCGCGTGATCACGCTAAGAACGCAAATGACAGTCCGCTCTGCGACCGGTCAAGCGGAGAACGGGTGCACGAACATGGTCTACTAAAACTTTACATTAGCACGGCTGTCTGCAAAACGACGTTCGAACAAGATGGGCCCGCGGAGCAGAAAGCAGTGAGGGTGTAATGAGATTGATTTCGCTCTAGAGAGTCATCCTAACCAACCCAAATCGAGAGCGTTAATTTAAAATATCGAGTCAAATAGCACACTAAGAAAAACATTTCGAGATATATGTAATCTGAATGAAATGTTCATTTTACATGTCTTATGGAATTTATTCGCCTCTGAGGGCGTCGTATTTCCCACGGTCTGGACAGGAACCCGCGGAGCTCCACGCTTGCTAAGCCTTCCGATTGTGACAGTCCGGTACGCAACAGTGCCTCCTACCGCTTTGATTGCTCTCCTGCAGAAGCATCAAGAATTGTACACGACAAGATCAAAAACTCGTTTAACCTACACCTTCAAAGTGATGCATGAACATCCCCTTGACCAAGCAGAACTAGCGAAAGGGCCCTCCTAGTGATGCGAATGTTTTGAGCTATATGGCGCGACGTGTCACATCAGACTCGATTGCCCTAAGTCACTGACAGCTCATGAAGCGCAAGGCCTAGCAAGTCCCGTGCATCTCATTATCGCTCCTGGAGCCAATCAGGTTTTGGGCATGGCCAATAAGAAAGTCGAACAACCAATCACGAAGCAAGAAGCGTGAGCATGATATGCCACGCCCGGCGTTTCTTAAGCTAGCTTTCAGTGACAATGGCGAAGGAGCCGCATATCAGATCGTCCCAACTTAATTGCATGCGCAGTCCGTACTGACTTCATTTCCAAAAAAAAGATTTTTTTTTTTTTTTGCTTTGGTTTGGGTGGTTGCACAGGACATGACTGAAGCGCCGTTCACATATATGCGACCGAGTACGACCGAGAGAGACCAGACCGGTTTTTGTGCCTCTTGCGACGTCTTAGGACCGGATGTGCTGCAGCAGAGCTGGTCCTAAGACGTCGTAAGTTGCTTAAAAACCGGTCTGGTCTCTCTTGGTCTTACTCGGTTGCATATGTGTGAACGGCGCTTTACATGCGAAGCGCCGGGGTTGGAGAAACTATCCTTTTTATCCCCAGGGAATATACGAAACTTTGTACAGCTTATTATCCCTCGGTTTCATTAGATCGCGTGTATACTTTGCACTGCACTCTCTTAAACGCATTTTCGTCGCTACGCTGGAGGGCATACGCAGTTCGCGAAACGGCAAGGGCACCAACACATGACAATGGAAAAGATTTTGGTGTGCAGAAGTCAGAACTTAGCTGAAGCCTGCCCTACCGTGTTCCCGCCTTATTTATTACTGCACATAACTAATTAGGTCAAACAGAAGGCCTTCGTTCGTCAAATGTTAGTGGTAAATTGTCCAGTCCATCACGAGTGCTAGACTGTGATCGTAACTTTTTTTAGCGATAACAATAAAGTGGCGGTGTGAGAAGTTGAAAGTGCTATTGCTATACAATTTGTAAAAAAAAGCTTCGTATTTATGTTTATTTATTAAGAAGTATCCAAGAAAAGTAACGTATATCAATATACCTATTGCTCTATTACCCAAGCATCAAGGAGAATGCAGGGATTGGTGTTCCACGCGCCGCACGTGCTGACGTCAGCAGTAGTATAACTTTTCTAAAGCAAATACCTAAAACAAATGGCATCTAGCACGCGCGTTCGTCAACGCTTTATTTTGGTTATTTACCTGGAATCTTTTATACGGGGAAGACGTGCGCGGGCGGCGCGTGGAACACCAATCCCTGCATTCTCCTTGATGCTTGGGTAATATAGCAAATGGTCTATTGATAACGTAGCGAGTAAAGTGATTAATGGCGTTTACGCGAGTGATTAGTAGTGGCAACGCACTCCATTTGAGGCCGAGTAACTAGTAATTGCCATGCATTACATGTTTCGAGAAAGGGGCACAAATCTGCAAGATAGATGCATTCATGTTCCAAACTGTTCAACGTTTCTGTCTTTCTGTCACAATCATTTCTTGTCGACAACTAAGCCACCAACAAAAATGGTCCCCTCGTAGGCGTGTTTGTAAATGAGCTGCGGCGATGACCCGTCCCAACTATACATTTGCTGACAAAACAAGGACCCACAAAGCCACTTTAAACCGGACACAGAAGCAGGGTTAGAGGCAGAATGACCATAATATTCACTGTATAAGGCGCACCCAAACAAAAGTTACTTCCTTTTATACTTGCCCCAAATCAGTATTCGTATCACGATCCAGGCCTCTAACTTGAGCACCAACAGCAAAGGGTTCTTCATCGTGTACGAAGGAATCGCACGAGCACAAATTATCTGGACCTTAAAGTATTCAGGTCGTGTCTTTGGGTTTTTCCACAAGTTCCGGGCTTGAAATAACCGAAATGAACTCATTGCTACACCTGGACAAGGGCTGCCTCTGTTCGATGAGAATGCGGAAAGAGTCGTCAGTAGGCCAAGAAAAGCGACGTCCGAGCTGAGTCAAAGGATGCACTTTTTACCTTATGCTTAATAGGGCCACTCTTTCGTAGAATGGATTCATGTAGATATCTTTCTCGTATGTCATCCAGTCGCCTGCCTGGCATAAACCCGTAATTTGTCTTTCGCGCCCCACTCGCTGTCTCTTTCTGTATTTAACAGTGAAGTGTTACCTTTTAGATTCTCTTTGGGTACGTGGCGTGTGCCCGTGAACATGTTCAGAAGGAGTGCTCCAATGTATTTATTTAAGTAGGTATAGTGTGCACTAGCTAGTTTTACTCAGTGTCTGTAACTATCCCTTACTTATACTGAATAGTCATTAAATGCATCGGATTATTTGTAGTTAGTGCTTCCGTAATATAAGAGTTTTAGGCTATGTCATTCAGTGCTCGCCTGTTTAAGGCCACTGAGGAGATTATGGAAGCAGTTCCTAAGGTTGAGACGGTGAAAAAAAAAGAAATGGACGAATGATTGACTGAATGCTTCATTTTAATGTATTCACCCAATTGAATTATTTATTTAATTTGATTGGGAATATTCACTCAAAAAATTATTAAATTATTATTAAATATTCAGCAGTCTGACGGAGTCACGGGCTTTTTAAAACGGGCATTATCAAAGAATATATAAATTTCAAATACTGTAAGCGACTTATTTTTTGCGGTCTCAATATTTCGCGATTTAGGTCAAAGCTGAAGTTTTCGAAGTAATTCGCGGGTTCTAATTTTCGCGACGCAGTGGGATCTCAATATAGATTTCAATGTGTTTACATTTTACCGGAATCGTTCGCGCGACCTATATTTCGCGAATCGTAGGCGATTCGCGAAAATTAATTCATTTAAAGTAACAGAAAAAATGTGTAAAATTAGTGAAACCTTATTTCAGTTTGATGAAACACAAGCAAACCATATTATTAAAAAAAATTGATGTGTGTTTGTTTATACAGCCGGAAATTAGTCTGCCTCAGTGGACGTCTGGTGTCTCAGCTGTAGATGAGCAATTTAGCCAGTGCGGTACAACCGCTAGCCTGGGGTCTTTAACGTGCAGCACGCAGTAGTGATACACGATCACACGCCGGTACGATGCTCATCCAGATCGAAACGGGCAGGAGTGGGGATTGAACCCAGGATTCTGGGTTCTGCAGCGCGAGCTTTTGCTACACATGCTCAGAGCCGGTGTGCGCTAACCTACTCAGACACCGATCCTTCCACCATGTTATTGAATACAATAACAAAGTGAACTAACATAAAAATATATTGTACAGACGTATATTAACCTATAACCTAAGTACGTACGGAAGCTAGAATAAAACAAAAAATGGTCTCACCTTTACCCGCGTCACTGAATTATTATCCACAACCTCTATGAATATATCATTGAATGCAAAAGTTAATCGCTGATATTTTGTATGCTATGTATGACATACAATGCCATGTCGGTGAGCTACCAATTACTCTCTTAGTCGAAGCTGTTATGAGAACGTGAAATGGCTAAGAATGTTTCAACCTATAAAACTCTTTTAATGTATACAATTTGTTGAGTCACTCGACGCCTCTCTTTTCATATTTTATGATTTCTTTTTTTACAATGTAAACAAGTGTTTGGTATGGTGATAGTATAAAACAATGGAGAAAGCACGTAACTACTTTATAGAAAAAACATGCTGAATGTTGTTTATGCTTTGGTTTCTTTACTCCATACATGGTGAAAGTAGTCCAGTTTGAAAATACCACTCAGTTATAACGTTGAATAAAAATAAAAAGAGGTAACGAAGATCTAAGGTTTGTTTGTAATTCTATTGTTTTAACCACTTTAACGAAGAATAAACAACGCACTTACACCAGGGTAAAATGTTTGTAAACGGGGCTTTAAAGTTATAATGTATTCACGATCCTATTTCATCTTCAAAATAACGAGACCTGATAACCATAATTAAAATTTGTTGACTTTTGAATTTTGACAGCGACAGTGCGGTCGGTGCTTTTGTCGAGTTCTTCTAGTACGCAGTTCCATCGTGGTTACAATAATATAAATATCTTGGTGAAAAATGCACTAGTGTTATCAGCATATAAATGAAACATAATTTTAAAATCGCGGTTTGCGTTTACAATGTACTTAAAAAATAAAAATTCAAGGGCCTAAGCTAGTTTATACCCCGGCGAACACCATTATTATGACTTATACGTTATCCGTTAAAAGTAACAAAACTACTTGTAATCGCTTACATTTATCAGTAATTTTGTAAGGGAGTAATTACATATTTCAGAAGGTAATTGTAAATTAATTTCCTTACTCTTTTTACGTAAGGAAATTATTGTAATCCGTTAAATTTTTGTTTTCCTTCATGGCAGGCAGTTCACTGCTGTGTACGAAAGTTATACAATTAATAGAGCACTATTGGATTCTGAGTGATAATACTTAAGTCTTCAGAAGGTGGAGACATGAAGTTGCGTGATCGGTCGTAATCGGAGCGCCCTGCAACCGCCACACCCGGACACGTTGTAGCGCGCCGATAAATTTATTCATGCAAATTTGCACATCGCAAGTCGACAATTGGCCCTAGAGCTTTTAGTCAGCAAAGAAAGTGCATTGCCAATAATTGACGTTATCGGCACGTGTGGCATAAAAGGAATCGAAGAGACTTTTTTTTTCTCCAGATTGACAATTCGGCGACATCGGATTTTCATCTCTTCGGGCCACTAAAAGATTCACTGTGCTAAACAAAGTTTGAAAACAACCTGAGCATAGTTTGTGCAGTGAGAGCATGCCACATGTGCAGAAAACGAGCTGGTACCCGGAAAGGCATGCATGCCGTTGTTCCACGCTAGTGTAAAACAAATTAAAAACAAATCTCAGAAGAGATTACGTTAAAAGTAGCAAATATGCAAGAAAGGTGCAGTAATATTCGATGTGAATTCCATATAATTTAAATAAACAGTTTTCGAGAAGTCAACATGTCGGGTATTACCTTTTGAGCAATCCTCGTAATCTCATTGTTCATCTGCTGTTCATGAGCACAAAAATAACCAAATGGATGAAGGAATGAATGAATGAATGAATGAATGAATGAATGAATGAATGAATGAATGAATGAATGCATGAATGAAGGAATGAATGGATATATTAATGAATAAATGAATTAATAGCAAAACCGCATAGGGCTGAATTTTCGGCGTCAGGATACGTGGGGACAACTCGGGGTGTTGATTTGACACGAGCGTTGCGTCAGCGCTTCGGCTGTGCTCGTGTGCTCACTGATTGGACACGAGTTCCAGCCGAACGCTGGCGCAGAACTCGCGTCCAATCAGCGCCCTTCGTTATCCTCCTGTATCCGACGCCGAAACTTCAACACAGCAACCTCGTTGTTTAGGGGGTCTTGGTGTACCCAGACTTTTCTTCCTTTTTTAATGGCGCCCTTTGCGCCAAATTCCTGCCAAGGAAGCTTCCAGTCAAGTGTCCAACACAAGTATGGTTTATCAAAATTGGTGGATTCAGAAGGGTAGTTTATAATTCGGTGTTTCTAATCAATAATGAGCAGTATAAAAGACCCACCGTTTGCAAACCTGAAAAAAAAATATCGTTTTGAAAATCTGAAGTAATCAGAAAGGTAACGGTTGCTTTTTTCAAGTAACGTTTAATTACTTTTCTTCTCAAGTAATCGAGTGATCCGATTGGATACCTTCTTAACCACGAAAGTAATTATAATTATAATCAAATTTTTTTTTTTTTTTAGTACCTGACACCTCCGTGAGCCGCGCATGCGCACGATAAAAATAGGAGGACGGCACGTGCACCGGGCCCGTGCATGTGCGTGTGCTTCAATGTAACAACAGTTTTTTTTTGTTTTCTTTTTGTGATTTAGAGAAGTGCATTTAAAAATATTCACGAAGGTGTCCGCTGTTGCAGGCGTCCTCTCTGCGGCCAGCGAGCGTAGGGCGCAGTCCAGGACAGCGTCGGACGTCGTGCCGGGCCCGCTCCAGGATCTGCGGGGTGCGGACGGCGCCCCGTCGAAGCGGGGAGGCCGGCACGGCGACAGGGCGCGTGTGCGGCGCAGCATCGTGCAGCTGGCCAGCATGCTCAAGTGCGTGTCCGGCTGCAATCCGCTCAGCTACAGGGGCTACGGCTGCTTCTGCGGATACAGGGGCGACGGCATGCCCGTGGACCCCATCGACAGGTAACGGGACTCGGTGGCAGCGCCCATTAAAAGAATTTCGGGGGAACGCAAGAGCATTGTTAAAGTAAATAATGCAAAATCTGCTTTGCTTGCTTTTTTTTTTTTTTTTTTTTCGTGTTTCAACGAATTGTGTAAAAAGAAAAGCAGCGAGGAAAAATTGTGTAGCATAATCACCGCACAGGTTTAGGCACTTAGTGTGACGTAGCACAAGCTTTTCAATGCTCTCCACCCCCCACCCCCCCCCCCCCCCCCCCCGACCCCCACCCCCCTAAAAAAAAAAAAAAAAAACGGCTCGCGCCTGGATTTTCAGCTATTCCATCGCGGTTTCAACGAGACTGTCAGTCGCCACAGAATGCAGTTTTTTTCCATACACATTGAATGTCTGTAGCGAGTGGAATGTCTGAGAGCCTTGACGGCAAACCTCTTTCGGAAGGACATCCGAAAGCCTGTGTCACGTCATAATAACTGCCCTAATTTGTGTGAAGAAGTAGCTAAAGTATGTGCCTACATTCTGTGTGTATTGAAGCAATTTTCCCCACATTAGTTTTTACCCAGTTTAACGAAACTTAAAAAAAAAAAACAGCCTAATTTATACGGAAAACTTGAAAACTTGATAAAAGCAATAGAAAAAACATTATGACAATGACGTACCTTTCAGCGGCTCGCGCGCCGAGCTTTGAATAAATTGACACAATTTCGAAACCGTTAAGCATTTAAAGAATTGATATCGTTGATACACGGGTCAGTCAGGAAGTCGCGAGTGGTTTTATAAAGCGCATTATGATCAGCAACCGATCGACAGGTAAATATGTATCGCAGGCTCTTCAAAAAAGCATTTCGAAAATTCGAGACCTGTCTCAGTGCCAAGACTTCCAAACCAATCATTTAAATGTCGGTGTCATTTGTCTTTCGCGTATAGTCAACAGCATAAGAAAGTGCCTATAGAGCTGTTTTACAAGATTTTGCTCGCGTCTTAAAAGAATCGCTTTTCTTCAGGCGTGTCATGTTCAAGTAGAACCTATAGAGTATACCTCCTAAGAACGAAAAACACAGGCGGCGTTACGCATAAACCTACATTGTTGAGCGCGTGAAAATTACAGGCTATAAAAATAAACTAACTTGACGAAGACGAGAAAGCTCTAAAGTGTTCGTTCGATGCTTTAATATTTTGTTATATTAATTCAGTTTTTCCGTACCCCGATTATGTTAAAAAAATATAGGTAGGGTGATTTTTTTTTTAACTCCTCATTCACCTTGGTCACAGCGGTGGCTAGTGTACCCTCCTTCTGTGGATACAATTACGCACCCTTGGATCTGAATTTTCGGTAACCTACACAGCCCCCAGTTCAATTGACCGGCAAAAGATCAGCCGCAAGTACTACAGGATTGATTGACTAAATAACTTTGTAAATACAGGAAAGACTCTTCAGAAGCATTCTCAAAAGTATGTTTAAATGGCAGTTTTATTTAGGCAATACTTGTGCGGGACAAGTACTGAAATTACTGGTAGTCGACTAATTGTTTTAGTGATTTGGTAAACATTTAATTACTTTTATTAACAAATCGATTACGAGAGTAGTCTGATTACCTTTGGATGTACTAAGATCCCTTGATACCGTCACTATATTTCTCTCCCCTTTTCTAATGCCTATCTTTGTTCCTACAAGTTTTCTACCGAGGAATCTTCGAACCATATGTCTCCGACAGCAGGGTCGGTCTACCGAAATTGGTGGATTGAGAAGATAAGTATGTTGTAAGTCGGTGATTCTAATCCGAAATTGGACAAAACAAGGCCCGTTTTTAAACCGGCAGAAGAGTCTGCGCTTTGAAAATGTGAAGTAATCGAAAAGCTAACGGTACTTTTCCAAGTAATGCTCAATTACTCTTCGTCTCAAGTAAGCAAGTAATCTAACTAAATACTTATTAACCAAAACTAATTGTAATCTATTATTTTGTTGTTGTTTTGTTTTTAGTGGGGTGAACGAGACTGTATATTTGGGCTAGTGGATACAAGGAATAGAAACGCAATTGAGTAGAAAAGTTAACAACGAAATTTTTAAGCCCTACAATAATCTGCAAGAACAAATGTCAATGAAGGGGAAAAAAATACGCTACTGTGGGTGCAGACAGGAGATCCCCCCCCCCCTCTCCCCAAGCTTTCTTTCGCAGCGTTAACTCGTGCATTCAATTAAAATTTTAAAAATCAAATGCCGAGAAACGAGCCACACACAGCAACTCCCCTTTTCTTTCAATCTTTGCTCAGCCTTCATCGGAATGAATCGTCGACCAGACGCGTTCAACCAACACCACCTAGATTGCAAGTAGTAGTGTCGAATTTTCTACGTTACCTACTGGCAGCCAGCGTGGGACACGTATAATGGACACGGGTGCTACGTCATCGTTGGGCTGTTGCTCGCGTTCGGTCGGCCATAACACGATTCCCAGCCGAACGGCGGCACAGGTATCGTGTCCAATACGTGACCGACGCTGAGTCTCAGTGGCTGACGTATGAAATTCAGCACTACATAAATTTCGTTCATCCCTAAGCTGACAGTGCGTTGTGAGCCACGCGCTTTCCAAACCAATCAGCCGATTCCCTTCCGTCACTTGACCCCGCTCTCTGCGCCTGGGTAGGGGCGGAAGCTTGAGCACGTGGCGAAAAACAAACGTACGACTGGTCCAGAGAGCACGTAGCTCCCTCCACTCTTGCGTGCTTAGCGGTCCTCGGCGCGTCCACCCACTAGCGGTCATTCTTCTCTCGAGCTGCAGGAAGAAATGGGTATCAAGTGCTCGCTGTCGACAGCGCCAGCCGCATCTGGGCGCCGACGCGTCTGCGGTGTCCGTCCTTATCAGAGCATGCCGAGGCGGTCCGCAGCCCACTTGGGCAGCCGAGAATCTCTGCTTGGCTGCAGCCGCACCAGGCAACTTCGGTCCGGGAAGTCGTATGGCGTCGGCGGTGAAAACGCGCCGCTGCGCAGCGCTTCCCCGAATGAGACCTTCTAGTATACACACGCCGCTGCGAAATGCGTGGAAGTCGATGGTTTTCGACGTATGAATTGTCCGCCGCCAATCACGAGATCTTTGTAGATGAGCGTTCTGCAGCCCAATGAGGCGACCTGTGCGGAGTAGAAGTGGACACTGTCCTCACTGCATGCAGAGATCGCGCAGCATCCACGAAGTAACGAGTGTTTGGAAAAAGAACATAATAGTACTCTGTTTTTTTTGTTTTGTTTTTTTTTTTCATCGCGAAAATGGATTAAGCGTCGCCGTAGGCTCTGTCTCTGCCAAAATGTAGCTCTAACAGTTGGGACCAGATGCCAAAGTTTCGGGATTTACCGCTTCTCATTCTTTAGTTTAAGCATTTTTTAACGGTGTCTGCTACCCGGGACGGGTCCCATTGTATCATTTAGAATTTTCGAAAATCATTTGTTACGTTTGAACCAGATAACGGTAAGTACAGAAACTTTGGCATATATAATCCGTAGCAACTGTAGCTATATTTGGGCGGAGACTGCGCCTTCGACGATGCCTAGCTTATTATTGCGGTAAGAAAAGCAGGGTTTCCTTTCTTCCCGAACACCCGGTGTAACATTCTTCTGCAGTTCACGCGACTTGTACAAGTGAAATACCAGCCTCGACACACATGAGTATTCACCAAAAGCCCCAGGCACATTATGATCTGCAGTAAACAGGCAGATTATTTTAATACTGTCGCAGACTGGGGCAAGGGAGAGAGGGGGGGGGGTAATCCTTGGGGGTTAGTGTGATCGAGACTGCACTTACATACTGACTATTACAGCGTAGTTCACAGTTGCAGAGCAGACCGTTATCTAGGTCGATTGGACACTGAGAGCGTGCGAGACACAATGTCCGTTCAACCACTTTGTTTGTTCCCTGTGTACAGGTGGTGAAAAAGCCAGCATCGCGACTCGCTAATATTCCAGAATAAAATTTGAGAGAGGCATAAATGGCGTTCTCGTGTGTTTGCTGAACAGGCAATGAGCATCCTGCTCCTTTACTTTGCAAAGAGAAAAGATAGACGAGAATGTTTTCGGCGTACCTTTCAAAAATCAACTTGTTGTGGATATTAAACCATACTGATCAGTTAGGCTGGTATCTTTAATATACTAGGAAGGAGGCTCCAGATTACCGAAACACACAAAGAAAGAATTTTCTTAAATGAATGCTTTATTAATACAAACAGGTACTCTCTTAGACTCTTAGAAGGGGGACTTCTACCCCATTTACTTCACGTAACTGAAGAGGAAATCCAGGGTGGCTTTTCGATTTTCTGGTGCGCCCTAAGGAAGAATCAATTCTTCGAGAGAGCTTGGTTTCGGGTGTCCGGGGAGTGCGGCGAGTATTCCTTGTCATATATATTCGGCATGTGAGGGCAGTCCCAGAAGACCTTGTCTGCGGAAGCTGTCTCCTCGCAGTGGGTGCAGAGAGTTGGGTGCCTCGTGAATTCTCCAGAGTCCAATTCCCATTTTACCTGTCGTTGTTGAATCTGGCGGTCTTTTTCGGGACTATCGTTGTGTGCGTGCGAGTCCCCATAGGTAAACCCTCTCCCACCAAGTGTAGGTGTGGGATGGAAAGGGGTGTGGGTCTTCCGTATAGGCATAACGAAAGGGATCACACCTTTTTTTTCGGATAGCTCTGATCACAAAACTGTTGGTGCTTTTTTTTTTTACTTTATATATTATTTATAGAAAGAGCAGTGTCTTGTATGTCCGGATATTTTCTTTTTTGTTTCAAGTATAAAGGGTTGATTGGACGTGCGCAGCCCTCTCCTTGGTCAAAAGGCCTTCATCTTTGGAAGTCAAAACGGGAGATCGGTGCTTGTTTAAGGATTTTATTGACGAGATCTCGACTAAGTGTGATGCACGGTGACCCTTGCAGTTGTTGCCTGGAGCACGACTGGTGTTACTCCCAGTCTCCCTGCTCCAAACTGTCTTTGTACCTGCTTCCGTACGAGTGGCACTGCCTCACACCGGGAATGGCACACTGCGGTCAGTCTTAATCCTTCGTTTCCCTCGACTCTTTTCTTTCCAGCAAACTCGAGGCACGCAAAGCATCACGCGAAACAGTCGTTTCTATTTCATCACTATTGGAACAAAGAATAGTTTCAGTGGGTCTTTTATTCTTCTCAGAAGTATGAGTATCATTTGTTTCTCTAAGCTAGTTTGAATATTTGGTTTAAGTGTCTTCACTGCACAGCATTACAACTAGCGTTTATATAGTTGGTGACAGGTTAAGAACCCAGTAGTTGGTCCGCCTCTACCACCCTCTCGCTGCCTTCCGCCGTGCTTTGGCTGCGCGTGCGATGGAATGGTATCAAAGGCAGAAAGCTCACGCTCGGGGTGGAGGATCTACTGGGTTTTTAATTTGTCATCGACTATAGTGATCAAAACTTCTAGTATTTCTCTCTATCTGCTATTCGTTTATACGTACTTCTCGTTTTGTCTGTCTCGTAGGTTCAATGTATTCAGAAATTCCTCAAACGAAGCTCTATACTTGGGTAGCCGCGAAGATAAGGATGTTGCTAACGGAGATACTTCTTCCCTTCTCGGCAGCGTACCCGGCATCGCTGAGCCCCCACGCCCACTGCGGTCAGCAGTTGTGCCAGTGCGACCTGGAGTTCGCCAGTTGCGTGAGCCGCTACCCTTGTCCCCGGAGGCGGATCTCGTGCCAGCACCGCAAGCTCTCCATGATCCACAGTCTTTTCAATGGCAAGAAAAGATAGCAATTAGCGAGCCCTGCCCCTATCCATTGGGGGCAGGGTGCGGACGGTAACAATGGACTTCCGCTGGAACATCTCTTCCCGGATGCAGGGCAAGGACCCAGCAGCCGACCGCCGGAAGCCGCTTTTGGTGGCCTGCAGAAACGCCGCAGACTCAAGGGCCGACGACCGGGGCACTTGTCGCGCCGCAAACCGGGCTGGAGACCCAAAAGGCCGCCGTGGCGCGACGACAATCGGACTCAGATTTATCCTGACTCTCCGGCAGACAAGGCACATGGGCGTCAAGTGGCAAATGCGACGGACCTACACTCGAGTTCAAGCTGGGGAGATGGCCTGCATTCGACTTTGAACGCCGTTTCCGGTCAACACCAAGAAATTGAACCATGGCGCTTTAACGCTACATACGTTTCTGACGAACTGCAATCAACTTTTGCTGCGAACTCGCTTCGTGAGACTTCTGAAGCTCCAGAATCACCTCTTGAAAACAAGATCAAGGTTTCTTCGACATTCCAAGAGCTCCAATCAAAAACCGCACAGCACGAGCATTTACCAACTGCTCAAGGGACTGAGCATTCGAGTGAAGCAGCGCGAGAAGTTGGAAGCCATCAACATAGCCCAACAAATTCCAAGTTGACGTTTTCGCAGAGGATCGCCCCAGACGAACCAGAACTGCGAACAGACCCGACGTTTGTACAGAGTATGTCTACAATAACTGTAGGTGTTGTATCAAAGATACATCCTGCTTCGAAGGAAGTTACTTATAAAGACTTTGTGCTAGAGACCGCTGTCGCATCGATATCAGGGAAACATCCGGACAAACCGACAGAAGAGGAAACAGGAAGTGGCGTGCATCACACCGAGAAAAGAAAACCTTTTTCAAATTTAGATTCTGGGCAACCCCAACCTGTGCCGCAACTCCAGTCGTCGATAGCTGCAACATCCTGGATGACACCCAGCGCTGTGTGGAAAGTTGAGTCCCTGAACGGAACCCCCATGCTTCCGCAGCTCCTTGTTCCACTACTGGCACATCAGACGCAAGCCATTTTACCGTCCACGCAATGGTCTACTTATCTGGAATCTTCAAAGAATTTCAACGCTGAAAACAACTTAGCTCGCAAAAGGGCGATCAGGGTAACAAGGACATTTGGATAACTGTTAGCTTTCAAACGACCAGAAGCATTCCTATTTTAAAATCATTCCGAAGGCCAAGAACTGAACATGCTCCGCTGGCACAGCTGACTCGCTTGCCACAGGATTTGTGGTATCAATGAATAGACCGCTGAGCTGGCTATTTCTCGTGAGACGCTTTTTGCTCTTCAAAGGCTTAGAAAGGGCCGTTTGAAACTTCCTGGTTCCTTTCAATGCCTAGAGAAATTGTCAAAGATTTTATACGGTCCTGAAACGTCGAGCAAGCGCCAATGCCTTGACAAGGCTGCACAGAATCGTGATTTAACAACTTAAGCTTTTGCAGGTTGATCATCACAAAATACAGACGGGTCATTGTTTCTGCGCAGCACACCACGGCAGTAACTTTTGTACCGAACATAGCCATCGTGGAATCGGATTATGGATCAGTGTGTCTAGTCTCAAAGCATCATTCAATGGCACATGTGAGCTGTCTTCCGCGACTAGTTCATTGGTGCACACAATCAGTTCTTTTCAACGTGTCACACATTCAAGATATGCGTAACTTTTGTTTTAAATTTCGACGTAACGCAGATCACCTTGAGAAAGCATCAACAACGTTGCTGAATGAAGATAGCGGCAAAGCTTGGGAAACTTTGTTTGAATTCTAAGAACGAAAATATTCTCCGTCACCTCAATTTACAAAACGCCAAGCGTGGCCAACACTGGAGCTCAGGATCATATTAGTACCTCGGTATTACTGAAGTTTCTAGATAAAAAAAGATAAAAGGCGCACTCCGCACTCCCTTCAAGTGCCGACATCTTTCGACGGCGCAGGTTTTACATGACGGGACAGGTTTTAGGATGTAAATGATGGCACAGCAGCAGAATGAACTGAAAACTTCCATTTTGTTGTCGCAAAATATACTTCTTCATCGGTATTGGTTCCCTTCACTTGCAAAAGAAATTACCAAAGAAACTTTAGGTATTGCCACTAAAAAGAAAACTTGCTTCGTGGTTTTACTGCACGATCGGTGAGAAAATCGATCATTTTCGCCCCCCGTATTGCCTCAGCTAGCATTAATTCCTTTTAACCAAATTATGAAATTATAGTACAAGTTGTCCTTCTTTCCCGTGCTATCAGCAAGATTAATTCATATCAAAATCAATAAAACTGTGGAGTAAAAAAACAAATTAAGTTTGTGCAAGCTAGGAACGCGTCGTGCTTTTGATGCCTTCGGTAACTTGTTCTACTTTGCTTACTTTAAAACTAATCGTCTCACACACACACAAAAAAAAAGCAATCGTCCCGCATTGTATTTCTGGTCCCGACAAATGGCAGCGGTCTAGTAATAGCATTAATGCTATCAAGAGAATACCGATTGGAGGCAATCGAGCTCAACCCTAATCACAGCTTACTACGCCAAAGCGTTACGCAATCACCATGTTGTTTGTTGTCGTACGTTTCTGTGCTAAACTCCTAATACAACGGCAAGAGTCTTCCGCAATCCTGAAGCAACAACTGCTGGACATCGACGGCGACCACGTGTAGCCTTTCGTAATGAAGCTGGACGCATGACTACAGACTTCATAACGTTGCCATGAGCAGGTCTTGTGTCTTGCCGACGTATGTGCCAACCAAGCTCCAGGCGCTCACCTCAGTGCCCTCCTAGTGAAAACGACGCTCACACTTTGTCTTCAGATGGATGGCCAAAGTCAGCAGCCGTCCCGGACGAACAATGAAGTGGCTCAGTGCTTCGTATCCGAGTGTCCTTTGTTGAAACATTACGTGGTGGCCTCTCGACGAGCCCATGTGTGCAGTCCCTTCGGCGCAACCCTCAGTTCCCAAGAACTTTAGTCAGGCTTGGGAAGATCTAGCGCATGTCCGAACAATCACCGCCGTTTAGCAAGGATATGTATGCAATAGTGTAAGCATGAATGCCAGACCATTAGTTATCTTTTGTATTTTGTTTCATTATATAAGCATTTTTATCAGTACTGGTGACATTCAAACGTGCGTGAACGGTGTTCACCTAACTTATCCGGAACCTGGGCACGGTGTCTTATCTCATGGTAACGCTCTCCTGGCGGCATCTGAAGAATTGCTTCATGGCGTAGCGATGTCGTTGAGCGTTTTCGTCCTTGAGCGTTTTCATCCTTGAGCAAGTGGCCTTCCGCTCTCGGACCGTTTCACTGAGCGCTACGTCATGAAACAGTTCTTGAGCTGCCACCATGATAACACTCCCACAAAATAAGCATCCGTTTGCGTGTTCCGGATAAGTTTGGCGAGCACTGTTCAGTCTAAAAGAGCACGTGCTCTTACTACACCAGGAGCCATGGATACGGAGGTCCAATAACTGTAATTGATGGTCTGCGTCCAGAGAACGATTCTGCTTCAGAATCAGTTTTTCTCGAAGGGGGGATATGGGCAAGTGCAATGTATATGTATCTTGCCGTAGTTATCCGTCTTTGCACTAATCATGATTGAGAGTCAATTGTTTTTTTTTTCGTCATTCGCTGGACACGTTCCGAAGATTACAGCGGTTGGCCCTAGATATGCTCAGTGGGAAAGCAGACATCTAGGAATATGTTTTAGATTAAAAAAACAAGCCAAATCTTAATTCATTACGTTGTCCGATCGCGCCACTAATGTATATCAAAATAGCTCGCGAGCAGGAAGCGCCGATTTCGCATTCGTAGGCCGATGTGTGCTCAAACAAGAAGCATTCGGTACACCAGGTTAATAAAAAGTCGAAAGGTTGGTACCGTATATATTTCACTTAACACGTTATATTATAGATAACGCAATTATTCACTCGTCACTTGTTGTTTGGGCGTAAATGTATGCAATCACCTTTTCTTTTTAACTTGAAAGGTTCATCGAATAACTGAACGTTCGCGGTTGTATGTTAACTCTTTATACTAAGACCATTATTCGTAATGTTCATAACTCAGCGGAGACAATACGGTAGCGATGTAAAAAAAAATATTTGGTTAATTTCGTTATCCTTAACCTTCTCTAATTTGATTTGGTGAATGTTGAAACTTGGTTGAAGCATACACATGAATACTGATGAGTGATCTGACCACCACAATCTAAAAATGCCCCATAGTCTTTTTCTTTTTTTTTTCTTTTCTTCCGCTGAGCATTTGAATGGGTGATTAAGAAACGCAGGCTAAACTATACCTGAGCCAGGAAATTTATCTATACTTGCTTTCTCCTCAAGAAAAAAAAGGAAGTTTTGCGCATTGTTCATACGCCGCGTAAAGTAATTCTTACAAATTTCTTCTTTTTTTTTTTTTTTTTTTTTGTCGGAAAACAAATTGATGCTTTTGGCGTTTGAAACGTGTGTGCCTTGATAAGATAACGTACACCTAATCTAAAAAAGCAACTACTTTTTTTTTTTTTTTTTATTGTGGAGGCAAGAGGTTTGGGTTGGGTTTACTAACACGCAGGAGAAATGTCAAGGCACACCTTCACTCAAAACATTTCCTGGTAATTGACTCGACGAAGTATACGTGGAGCGCTCAAAATACCGCTTGAGCTCGATCGAAACGTCCTCTAGCTGCGCAGGGTTCATGAGCATGAGATTTCGCTGGTTCATTGTCGCTGCTCCAGGATGCCTCTTCCAAGTCAAACACTTCTTCGTTCGTGTCTCGTATTCACTATCGTCAATGACGAGGTGCGAACGGCAAGCAGGAGCTCCAGTTGTTCCGCCTCAAGCGCGAGCTTCGTATACCTTCGAGGACGCTTCGGCGTCTCGAGCGAGCGCGCACAGTCAAGGCACGGTGGAAGGCCCGTGTTGGAGGTCGGGCGTTAGAAAGGCGCGCGCCCTGCCGTTCTTAATCTCCGTAAATCTCAGCGACTTACCGAACGC